GCGAAGTTTTGCTTATAAAACGTAGGTCGCAGTAATGTCGAACAGCCTAAAGGCGCCATCCTGCGATTGCATGCCGGTGCAGTACCCAGAGCGGAGGCATGGCGGGCATCAGGTGGTCTACTTTTTCTGCTTTGCTTACGTACTGAACTCCAGCATGCCGGCGCGAGATGCGATCTTCCTCGTGTGTTCCCCTCGGACCCTATTGCCTCCGTGTCAATCTGGCAGTGCCCGTCGTTTGATCCAAAGGAAGAAGCGGGAGCTGACTTCCTATACGGGTTGAGCGCTGGACCTAGCCTGGGCCTGGCCTGACCTAGCTCGGACCTAACCTGGCCTGGACCTGACCTGACCTAACCTGGATCTGACCTGACCTAGACTAGAACTGACCTGATCTAGCCTGACCTGGCCGAGTCAAGCCTGACCTAGTCTGGACCTGACCTGACCTAGCTTGGACCTATCCTGACCTAGCCTGTACATGACCTGACCAAGCCTGTACATGACCTGGCCTAGCCTGGACCTGACCGGTGTACATGTGGCCATCGATGCTAATGAGGTCCTCTGAGCCGAACCATTACCATTATAAGCGCTGCATAAGTACCATGCAGAAAGCCAGCATCGCCCGCATGGGTGCATGGTGAAAATTGATCACGTTTTCACACTGCTGTATGGAATGTTGTCATTTACTTTGTTTCCTGACAAATACATTAAGTGAGGAGCGTACTTTTGACTTCAAATATGTTGGATGCAGCAAACAGCAATATGAATTACAAACATCCTAAGCAAAGACTATTCGCGTGAGTAATAGCATCATCAGTGTCAGCATAATCGCACGAAGCACGCACCGTCCTATTTGCATTTATTTTTCCATTTAGGATGCAGACAAATCTATGAGGCCACATGTTACCAGCCCGGTAATGGGACTCACGTCGCAGTAGCAGGAGATAACATCCTTTACATGAACTATTCAACGTGCAGTCACCATGCATTAGGCCTTATGTAATGACTGACAGATCGAATTTTGAATTGAAAATCGAAAAGTTGAATTTGATTGCCAGGTCACGCGCAGTTGTACCCTTGGCGTCTCGTTTCTGTAGAGGTGACACTTCTGGGTGCTTCAAGCTCCTGAGGGCCACCGGAAAACTTCCGTGACATTCCTGATGAGCGGATATCCTGCCTCTCCCCCTCCCCACCCCCCGTTGTCAACGAGACGTTCTCGCTGGGCCGCTGCCGTCACCCCTTCCCCTGTGCTCGAGTGACTTCTCCCTGGCGGCCTGAGACGCCGTCTGGGTGTCCTCCGCTTCGGCTCGACGCGCGTCCCAGTCCCGCTTCCGGTCGCCCCTTTGAAATTGCCGACAAAGACCTCCCACGTGCGGAGTAAGGCCGGGACAGCTCCCATAAATCTCGGGCAGAATGGTCACCTGGGCACAGCTGTGTGCGGTTCCAGTGTGCTACGTGCGCTCTCTTCTGTCATCGGTTAACACACATGAACTTCATTCTGACGCCTGGCGTGCGATGTCTCAGTCTGGGTGCACAGCATTCTCCTAAGCCACACAAAGCGTTGTTACGCCCCTCGCCGGCCATGGGGGAGGGGGGGGGGGGGGGGGCGGCGATAGCCGGTACCACTTTACCCTCCTGCCGCTCGTGTTTGCTTTCCAAACGGCCGACCGGCTTCACTACTCTCTAACGCGAATGACAGATGGCAGTTAGCCAAACAGAGCGGCGGGCCCGGCGGCCGATCGTCGGACGCCCTGCCGCTGGCCGGTGGGGCAGCCTCGCCTCGCCCCCGCCCCCGTCCCCGCCGCTGCCCGCAGGCATCCCCGCCCCCGCCGCCCGTGGCGACGGGCGGGCAGAGTTGGTGCTCGTCAGCTCTCCTGTGCGCCTTCGCCGCGCCTGTCTCCTTTCAGCTCAGCGCTATTAGATGCCTTCGGCCCGTGCCGCTGTTCCGCGTGACGTCTGAGTTAAGGTCACGGGGTTACGACGGGGTTGTGGTGGGGTCACGGTCCGGTGGCTGCTCTGGTGTCCGCGGAGGAGGCAGCTCAGCTCCAGGCGCGGCCAGGTGCTGGTGCAGAACTCACTCCCCCTCTCCTTCGTTCCGCCAGCGCAGCCTGTGCGGGGCTCTGCTCCAGCCGTGTGCGAGTCGCGCCAGCTCGTGCGGTGCCGTTCGAGCGGCGCGTGACCTTGCCTCAGCGCCCCGGGCTGGCGTTCGAACGGTGCCGCGGGGCCGGGAGCGGCGGCCGGCCGGCCGGTGCGGCCCGCCCCCGCTTCGGACGGCGACTCCGCAGCCGCCGAACCGCCAGCTCCGCCCCGCTGGGGAGGGTGTGCAGGGGAATGTCGTGCATGCGCTCTGCCATAAGTCGGGTTTTCGTGTACTTTTGTACAATGCGGTGACGTCACTGGTGCGGAGACTTCAACGTGGCGCTGTCGCCAGCCGTGGGGCGTAAAGCTGCGGGGCAGTTAGAACATCTGAAATCTCCGCACATATAATGAACAAACTGTTGACGGAGGTATTTATGACCAGCGAGCCGATTGCGTAGAATTCAACGTCTATGTAATGATGTGTCTTGAGAACTTATGCAGTCAAGCGCTACAATAAAACAGGCGCGGAAATTAAACACGCTAATGCACGAATTGCTACAGAGATGGGCGGCCGGGACCTCGGACTGGCTTTGTACCAACAATGAACAAACCGCTGAGGGCAGGTGCACATAAGCAGGGCTCCGCATGCGTGGAGTTTAACTGGGAGGATGATGATATGCTTTTTCCAAGTTTATATGTTAAGCGATTAAAATGCAATCGGCGCGAATAAAAAAGACGTTCACGCGTGAAGTGATAGGAGATAGGTAGCCTGAATATCGGTCTGCCTTATTACCAGCAAGAATGAGAAGATAATTGCTTGGATGCGCATGAATCCGCGAGCCAATAAGGCATAAACAAGTGGCAGGCATGATCATGAGCTTTGCGAGCTCACACTCAGCACAGCCGTTAAAAGGGGATAAGCTGTCCAATTTTCTCAAACTGTATCATTCACCGCGTGGGTGTTGACTGAAGAGAAATAAACAAAATTCTTATCTGCCTCCTTCCCAAGCTGACGAGAAATCCCGTTGTCCCTGCGCCTGTGCGGGAAGCAGCAAAATGTTGGTCAAAACGGCCAAATGTTGCCCAGCCCCGTACACAGGTACAGATTGATCACGGTGGAAGGTGGATGTACACGGACGGAGCACGGTAGCTGTACACACAGGCACGTACCTAACACACACATACCATGAGCACTGTGGTATGTGGATATTAGGTACGTCCAGAGCACGGCGGCCGCGTGCACGGGTGCAGGAGTAAGGCAGTCTGTACTGCAGCAGACAGCAGACTCGCCACGCTGCAGTCACGCTGCTAAGCTGCAGCAGACAATTCAGGCTGGCTACGGCCCACACTCGCCTTCCATACGCGCCACCGACGGCGGCACGACCACGGGGCACGAGGCCGTATAAAACCAAGGTGCGTTGAAATGGCTCACCGGCTACGGTTGTCATGTACGTCATCATAATCGTCGCTGAATTATACGCGATCGGTTTGCTGTCATAAACAATCTGCACGTTTTGGGTATGAAGACAGCTCGATATTCATGCCGCCCTTCCACGAAGCGAACCATGTGTACGGCTTAGCTTTTCATGTCATCGCCTTTAGAAGGTCTGCCGCATACAATTGCAAAGCACATTATCACATTTGCCATACAATTATCCGTAATCGGCTCGCCGGTCATCTTCACGTTCCCCTAACGGCTTTTTCGTCACAAGTGCGAGTATTTTGACGCTCCGGTTGCCCCTCAGCGTTGTGTCCAGAATCTAGCGGCCCGCCGCGCGTTTAAGTCTCGTCACCAGTGACGTCACGCTAACGTTAAACGAAAATGAAGCAAGAGTCACCGGGCGATTTTACCACTCTTCCGCGGCCTTGGGTGTGTGTGTGTGACTGGCGGCAGTTAGTCGTCCCTTGCCGCCCGGCGCGGCCCGGCCCGGGGGGCTCGCCTTCCCAGCACAGCCTGCAGCGGCCCGACCGGATGGCCTGGACCGGCGGCAGCGGCGAGATCGAATGACTGCCAAGCGTTCGGTTCTTTGTTGAGTAGCTGCCAAGGGCAACTTCGTGGCCTTACGGCACAGCGCAGCGAATACGAGCTGAACGGGGGGCACTTGGAACTCAAGATCAAGATTATGCAAGGCCATACATACGGCGTCTTCACGCAACGTCTGCCAATCCGCCTGTCTGGCACGTTAGCTGTGACTGTCAGATGTGATAGTCAGGCGGTGCGCCGGGAAGACTATGTCCATATCGGCCAGTGTTTGTCATAAAGTCGCAAAAGTCTGGAGAATGATGGTGGCCCACGACGCCTAGGGTTTACTTGCTCTCGGACTTTGGCGCGTGGCATGGGTTCAGTGTCGCCGGATTTAAATGTGCGGATCAGTGTTCGTTATTATTCTCATTGCCATATTTGTACAGAATATTATGAAGATACTGCATAGTACAGTTACTATGTATAGCACATAGGAACGGCGCACGACAATCGACAGGCACCTAAAAAATCAACAAAATAAGTCGTCACAACAAGGTCAATCAGCCATAGCTAAAAACGGCCGCCTGCCGCCCAACCGAATCGGCGTAAATCATAATATGCCTATGCCCCCTATTTACACCGGTGGTGGGGCCGGCGACGGCGGCGGCGGTGGCAGCGGCAGCGGCGCCGACGGCCGCGGCCCCAGGAACATCACAACTGCCTTCAGGCGGGTGGCCGGCGAGGCGCCACACTAGATCAACACCCGTGATACATTGTGGTTATTTTGGCACAGGCACGGCGTGCAGGCGGCGCGGCCGCGCGGTCGGTCGGCCGGCCGGCGCGCGGCCCACGACCACACAGGAACTATATCAGCACCCCACACACACGCACAGATACACAGACACAGACACACTGGGCCAGAGGGACGCGCCGGCGGACGGGGGCGCGCGGCCGAACGGCGCGCCTATAGGGCCGGCTTCACGTCGGCCGGCGAGGTGGCGGCGCTGTGCAGCGGCGGCGTGTGCACGGACGGCGGCGAGCTCACCGAGCGGCCCTCGCTCGGCGACTCCGAGTCGCTGCCCGAGCCCGGCTTGCAGCCGCCCTCCTCAGTGTGCGTTTTGGAGTGCTTGGCCAGGTGGTCGGAACGCATGAACTTTTTGTTGCAGAGCGGGCAGGCGAAGCGCTTCTCGCCCGTGTGCGTGCGCAGGTGGCGCTGCAGCTCGTCCGAGCGCGTGAACCGCTTACCGCAGAAGAGCCAGTTGCAGACGAACGGCCGCTCGCCGGTGTGCCAGCGCAGGTGGGCCTTGAGGTGGGAGCTTTTGTTATAAACCTTGCCGCAGCCGGGGATGTGGCACGAGTGGACGCTCTTCTTGCGCAGGTGGAGCGCGGCGGCCGGGCCGAGCCGCTCGGCCTCGGCGCAGTTTGGGCAGTCGCACGTGGCGCGGCCCGTGTAGCGCCGCTGCGAGCGCGAGCTGCCCACCGGCCCCAGGCTGCTCTGCGCCAGCCCGAACGGCGAGCCCACGGCGCCCGGCATCGTCTGTCCAGGTAGCATCGACTTGTATGTGTCCTGCAGCAGGTGCTGGCCGGAGGAGAGCAGATGTGCGTTGGAGCTAAAGCCCAGCGGCGCATAGTCGGACGTGACCGGGTACGACATCTGCGGCATGGCCGGCATGCCGCCCAGCGCCGAGCCGGCCGCCGCCGCGTTCGACATCTCTAGCCAGTTAGCCTGCGCGGCCGCCGCCGAGTGCATGTCCCACCACGAGTTGGCCGACACCTCTGGCTTAACGCCACTGCCGGCCGCGCCAGCGAACGGCCACTGGTCGTACGGGTGGCCCGGCACGCGGCCGTACACGGAGGTCATCGGCGCGAAGTGGTGCGAGCCGACGGCGTCCATCTTGAGCGCGTCGCCGCCGGGCGCCATGGCGGCCGAGAAGTACTCGCCGCCGCCGTAGGCGGGCAGGCCCCCGGCCGGGCTGTTGGCTGCCGGTCGTGAGTAGCTCAGGCCCGCCGGCGCTGCCGAGCTGGCCACCGGCGACGAGCGCGACGCCGCCGAGCCCGGCGACGACGTCGGGCCGCCCTTCTTCCACGGCGTGAAGCCCTTGCCGACGGCGGCGTCGGCTAGCGCGGGCGGTGACTTGCTGGTCAACTTGTTGCACTGGGCGGCCAGCATGGCCAGCGGCGTGCCGCGCAGCGACGGATGGTCCTGCAACGGGAGGACAGCGTTCAGCTGACGGGGAGACGGCGGTCAGACGGCTGCGCGCGCAGGGCCACACGGACACAGTGGGCGGCGGGGAGGTTCGGGCAACGGGCAGCACGCAGGCTCGGGTAGTGGGCAGCGGGCAGCGGGTAGACTCGAGCAGGCAGGTGGGCCGGAGTCTGACTCGGGGGACCGGGGCCGACGGCCGAGCGAAGCGCCTGGACCGCGTGCCCCAAGCGAGACCGCAGAAGCGCGGGGCACTGCGCGCGAAGGTGAACAAATCAATGACGGGAGTCAGGGTCACTGGTAGCCAGATCGGGGGCGAAGGCCAAGGATGACACTGGTCTGGGATGGCCAGTCACCTGTGCACTTTTACACATGTGACGACTGATGGCAATCAGGTAGGGATAAAGGCCACGTCAGGGTATCAATTCTCCGGGTTGAACACGACCCGGGCCGCTGTTTTCACTTAGCGTCGCTTTTATCGATCAATGCTGAAGTTACGGTGTAATGCAGTTATTACAGTCCCACGGACACATGTGAGCTTGCGAAATACGGCCTCAGTTCCCGGAACAGGACACACACATTACGTTAAATTATCCGAGTGCTTTCTGTCACGACCAGCGGGCCTCCCACATCACCGCTGGGTGACAGTTACGGCCGCCGGTGGCGTGCCTGGCGCGGCACCGGCGGGACCACCCCAGTCCATTCTCACCGGGCCTGAATTAGCGGCGCGGCGCGAGTAACTCTATCCCCATCACGTCCATCGCACCAAACGGCTCCACACGCCGGCCGGCATCGAGCTGGCGGTGATGATGGCGCGGCGGTGCCCCAGGCCAGTGGGGGCGGCGGGGCGGGCGGCGGCGGCAGGGCGCCATTGTGACTGGGGAGTGTTGTGGCCGGTAACCGGTTCCCTGTACACGAGGCGGAGGCTGCTCTCGCTCTCGGGGGTGGCCGACCTCCGACACCGTCGTTCAGCAGGCCACCATCAGCCCCACCTGGACGGCGGCGGCGACGGCCCGGAGGGTCGGTCTGGTCTGGGGTCGGACTGGTCTGGGGTCAGGCTTGTCTGGGGCTGGACTGCACGGTCGGACCCAGGCCGCTTGGAGGTGCAGAGGGGCGTGAGTGAGCCCGTGACGCGCTGAAGATCTAGCGAGTTGACAGTAATCCATAGGCTCGGAAACTAACGTCATGGGGAATGGCAGCTTTAAGGGTGTTGAGCCTAGCCCCCTCAATTATTTGGCAAAATTTAGGACCAGGCTTACGACGGCGCATGAAAATGAGCCAGTCAGAGTGACTTTCAGCCCCCCCCCCCCCATCCTGGGCAAATTGCCACGCTTCTTTAGTAATCTTGAGGGCGGACTGTTGAGTGAAGAGAGAACTTCCGAATTTCAGAGCTGCCACTCACATTTCGCACGTGTCAAATGTACGGCCCGAACAATCTTAGCGAATCGTGGAGGTATCCAGTGGGGAAAGCTGCAGCCCAAACCAGACAGGGCTCTAGCGGAGCCCTGATCTTACGCGGCTACATGGCGTCAGGCCACCACCTGCAATCCATGGCTCACGCATCAGCGCCCCCGCCAGCCGCCAGCCGCCAGCCGCCACTGCTGCAGCTGCCGTGGGCGGTCAGCGTGGCGTTCCTGTGGCGGCGGCGGCGGCGGCTCAGAGGCCGCCTGCGGGGCCGGACTGCGCCGCCGCCGCCGCAGCGACTTCGATTACTCAGCGGGCGCCAACGAGAGAGGGCGCCCCGCTGCGCCGCGGCGCGTCGCCAGTCACGGGATGAGATGGTGCCGGCTACCGTTTAGCGCCGGCCGCTGAGGGAGCCGCGCAGCAGTCAGCGCCCCTGATGTTTATTGCCTGCGAAAGGCGCCCCGCTGAGCCCAGCCATCACAATAAACGGCCGCGCCGCGGGCCAGCCGGCCGGTTAGATTAACCAATATGTGCTGTGGGTCGAGGCGGTCGCGAGCGGCCGGGACTCGGGGGGGGGGGGGGGGGGGCGCTGGCCGGACGGAGGTGCCAGATCACCCCCTTTAATCGGCTGCACTCGGTCGGGAGCCGACAAAACACGGCCGAAAACCGCAGGACGGCGATGGCATCGGGCAGCGGGAGTTCTCGCCCCGGACGATGGATGCCGCTTGTACAACAGTTTACGGCGCCTGCCTCTGTAGCCTCTCGGCACATCTCCCTCCCGGTCCGCTCTCCGGCGCTGAGGGAGTGCCGCCGTCCGGCCTGACGCGGCCACAATGCCGGGGTTAATGAGGTCTGTAAACAGCACGCCCTTCTAATTCGGCCGCCGCTCCGTCCGGGCGTCCCAGATGAAAAATCGCCGCCCGCCGCCTGCCGGTCGCCGCCCGCGACGCCCAGCGCCGCCGTGCGCGGCCGCCGGCGCTGCCGTACGCCGAAAGACAATGAGCGGCGGTTCCAGGAGCGGCGCGTGATTCAGGGCCGACTGTCGCCGCCATGCGGCGCCAATCGGTCGGCCAGACGGACGGCTGCCGGCGGCCGGGGCCGGGGCCGGGACCGGGACCTGGGACCAGGGGCCGGGGCTGGGACCAGGGGCCGGGACCGGGACCGGGACCTGGTACCGGTGGGTGGGATGGCCGCCAGACGGACGCCACGTCATCTGGCGACATGCAACAAATCTCAAACAGTTGAAGTCATGACACTTCGGCGCCCAGTCTCGTTACTATTATGGACGACGACATAATTGAATAACCCCTGCCGCGTAGTCGTTCGCGTAGCGCCAATGCTGTTGGCAAATTTTTACAGAATTTTTCATAAGTGTGAGATCGGGACGGGGATCCGTGGGTGTCGCAGCACTTCGCCTTCCGAGAATACTGAATATCAACCTTACGGTGATACGTGGACATAATTTATTGCAAATTTGGGTCAGCATCGAAACTTAGTGAAATGTGGCTTCACGTGCGAAACCGAATATCATAATCGTCAATCGTTATAAAGGCATACGGAGAAGACTCGTGGCAAAGTAAAGGACATCGAGTGAACAAGGAGAGCAGGCTGGACCAGTGTATGCGTCTGAATCCAGACGATGTGTTTGCAAGCTCGATCTCTTTGACGTGTGCTGAGACTCGACGGGTCGCTTTCCATACCGGGCGGCCCGCTGGGCGAACGACACCGTCCACTCAGCACGAGTCCCCAGATTCAACGGGTAGGCGGCTCGCGGATACATGGCTTACCCGCCCCAGGGCGCCAGGCTAGCACCCCTGGACGCGATCGGCAGGGTTCTCTCCAGGGGTCTTCGCGCGGGCGGCGCCAGTAACCCACCGAGACAATCGCGTGCGCTCGAGCGAGGCGAGTCCGATAGGCGGGCTGGAGACGGCGCGCTGGACGAGCGCGGCTCCTCGAGCGGGTGGAGCCGGTAATGCGGCGCACCGGCGGCAGGACCGACGCGCCGCCCTGCCGTTTACGGCCCCGCGACAGGCGGAACTAACGCACAACGGCGCCGGTGCGCGGCAGTCAGCTGATTTATTGCCAGGCCGGCCGGCAGCCTTAATGGAACGGCTTCACTCACGGCCGCCTGGCCCAGCAGCCTGGCTGACCGGAAGCCGCGGCTGCGTCACGGCTGGTGCTGGGCGCCGCTGCAGGCTCCTTCTGAAGCCCCTGTCTAGGCCCTGCGACACCTGCGTCGCCACAGGGACGTGCTCGCGCATCACCAGCTGCCAACGAGTTCTTCAGTTTTTGATGTATCCATGCGGAGAAACGTGGGGCGGAGGTCAACAGTCCCACACTATTATCAAAACATGAGTATTTCGGCTTTGGTAATTCCACTTAAGTGTGATATGGCGGAAGTCAGCGCGTTGGAAGCATATGGCACGGCCCAACAGGGGAAAGTTTATGGCCGTAACTTACTAATCCGGCATTCTTATCATTGTGTTATTCCACACGTTAAGACGATGATAAGCGACCGTTTTTCTTCATGTCAGCTGACATACCTCGCACAAACTGCATCGCAAACACAAGCTGGCAAAGATCGTACTAGAGAAGTAAATTAGTGCCGTGAATCTGGCGCCCAGAATGGCTTGTGAAAAATGTGATGTAGCTGGTGGCACCAATTAGCAGACGCCATGTACCGGGCGATATCTGAGCGGTTCAAGCTGTCAGTGGTGCATCCCCTCCATCGCCATCATACGTCAGTGTTTGATATGTGGGACTCGCACATCCCAGCCTACCCGGGCTACGTCGCAAGGTGCAGCAAACAACTCCGAAAAACGGAGTCGAATCGTTAATTTACAAGTCTTCGTTGATGATATTGCGGGCTGGCATTAAGTCGAAGCCTCTTAGCAAAATGGGTCGCGACGCTTCTGGTGATTCACCAAGTAACGCAGGCAGTACAGATATACGGGACTTGATTTTCGTTAACGAGCCATCAACCGGCTTTTTTGAAGCGCCCACGTACCTTGAGAGCTGCACCACACGAGGCGCCGATTTTACATCAGCTGTTTACGAAAACTAACCAATAAAATCTGCGCAGCGATGTGAAAACAAATCGCAAATACAAACCAAAATAAGGCGCGCAAGTATACATCAAATTCACTCAATTAAATGACGCACTCCCTGATCCTCTGGGAAGGTTGTACCTTACGTGTTGTTTGGCAGTCGGGCCGCGGAGCGAGCCGCTCTGGCTTAGCCGCGCCTCTCGTCGCCGCCGTCACGGCATTGGGACGTGCTCGCGGTGTCATAACTGCAGGAACGCTTAATTGCGGGAAAATTAGTTTGAATAATTATCTGACGGCGTAGCGATTTTCTCTGATGGTAATGAGTCAATTACGAGCGGCAGCGGCCGGGAGGGACGCTGTCGCTCTGGGTGCGCGGGCAGACCACTTGCCGATGCGGAGTGATGGAACTTGCGGAGTTGACAACATTTTCGACCGCAAAATTCGTAAAAAATGTGTTGTTCTGCAGATCTGCCAGCGAACGCGCTGTGCCAATCCGTTGTTAGCCCCGTCATAGGTGAGGTCACAGGAATGCAGAGGGGCAACTTGCCT